CTCAGCATCTCCAGGCCCCTCCCCCCTCTGACTCAGCATCTCCAGGCCCCTCCCCCCTCTGACTCAGCATCTCCAGGCCCCTCCCCCCTCTGACTCAGCATCTCTAGGACATTCCCCCTCTGACTCAGCATCTCCAGGACTCTCCCTCCTCTGACTCAGCATCTCCAGGCCCCTCCCCCCTCTGACTCAGCATCTCCAGGCCCCTCCCCCCTCTGACTCAGCATCTCCAGGCCCCTTCCCCCTCTGACTCAGCATCTCTAGGACTCTCCCCCTCTGACTCAGCATCTCTAGGACTCTCCCCCTCTGACTCAGCATCTCTGGAACTCTCCCCCCTCTGACTCAGCATCTCCAGGCCCCTCCCCCTCTGACTCAGCATCTCCAGGCCCCTCCCCCTCTGACTCAGCATCTCCAGGATGCTCCCTGTCCATCCTTGAGTTGGAAGAAGTGCTGTCCCCACAATGTTCAGGAGAGAGGCTGGCACTGAGCCGCCTTTCGAACCATTCCGATGGAGTTAACAAAGATGAGTTGAACACTGAGAAACTATCTAAAAGCTTCACTTTGGTTCAGTTTTTTGCTGGTGGTGACCTTGGACCCGTGCCCTGGTTCCCAACTTAGCATCCGCTTCATCTGCAACCTAATGTGGTGTCGTGGGTTAGGCACTGGGCTGCTAACTGTAAGGTGAGCTGTTCAAGCCCACCAGCTCCTGAGGGAGAGAGGTAAGGCTGTTGGTGCCCACAGCCAGTCAGAAGTAGCTGGAGGGCAGGGAGATTTCGATATTGAAATGGGAGGCCTTGTGGCTCAGTGCTTCCGCACTCAGGAACTGAAAGTCTGCTGGTTCTATCCACTCCATGTCTCCTCGAAAGACCTTTGATCTGTTCCCATAAAGGTGACCCCCCTAGGAAGCCCTCTGGACCAGTTCTCCTCTATTGTGTGGGGCCACTATGAGTAGGAACCCATTCAACGACACCCAACAACATGCTGAAACCTGTAGAGTGACCCAGGTCGGTCCAGCCCCACTGACCCCAGATTGGAATTTCTATGTGGTCATGATTATTCAGGCTTGGCTGGATGGGAGCTGTCTGCCTGCCCTCTTGTATGTCATTTAACCATTCTGTCATTCCCTGTATAGCTCTGACGACAAACCAATTGTCATTTACATTCAGACCTGCATATTTAGCTCCACCAATCAGAGGTTAAATTGATCTCTTCTGCTACAATCAGCCTTGGGCATAAAGTTCTGGCTCACTCCTCCCTGGTAGAAGCCCAGCCAGCTCCGCTCTGAAGGCTCCCTCATGGTTGGCTCTGGTTCCTGACCCCCCATACAGCAGATGCCCAGTGCTGGCTGCTTGCTCACTACTGTCCATGGCTGCAGTCTCCCAACCTACTGACCTCAGCTTCCAACATGGTGCTGGACAGCGTTCTGTTGTCATCCAGAGGATTTTCACTGGGCGG